AGCCAGGGGTTTATTGGCAATTCCCCTAATGCTTGATGGGAGGCTGTGGTAAGTACAGTGCCTGCACTTAAAAGGACGGGTGGGAATGTTGCAGTTCTGGAAGTGATAAGTACAGTACCTGCACTCTGAAAGAGGGTTGGGAATGTTACTATGCGGAGGGTTCTTGTACAGAGATGTCTACTCACTTCACTTCAAGAGACTTAGTGAACGAGTGATAATGAATGTTTGTTGTTCTCCGGGATAATAAACCTCAGTGGGAAGGTGGGAAGTGCCGTGATGGCTCTGCCACATAAGTAGTTTTGGAGTGTTTAATTTTTAACTTGAAAACTACAGTTAATCCTAAAATGCCACAGTGAAAACTACGAATCTCTAAAGTAGTTAATGAACTGGTCATCACGTCCTCGAGGCCCAGTTTAATAATTTTTATTGAATAATAAAGTAGCAGTGAAATACGTTTTCTAGTCTGCTGTAAAAGACCCTAATGAGAATCCGACATAAGAACATAAGAAAAAAAGGAACACTGCAGCAGGCCTACTGACCCATGAGAAGAACATAAGAACATAAGAATGTAGGAACACTGCAGAAGGCCTACTGGCCCATACGAGGCAGGTCCTTATCAAAACGACATCTACCTAAAGCTACTCAAGAAATAACTCCCGTACCCCTTAACACCAATCAAACCCAGCCCCTTCCACTCATATATTTGTCCAGTCTCTTCTTAAAGCTACCCAAGGTCCTAGCCTCTATCACCCCACTGGGAAGACTGTTCCACGCATCTACAACTCTGTTAGAAAACCACATGTAGCCATTGGCTACATGTGGGTTTGTTTGGGTGAAGTATCAAGCACGACCTACTTCAACATTGAACCAATGTTACACGACCTATGACTTCTGCACCTCTCCTGCCAACGGTTTATAAGCTGCTTCTCAGCACGTATGCCGTATTCTATTCAAGATTGATGGACTGACCACATCGACTCAAGGTTGAGGGACTGATTACCTCATTCTCCTCCTGTTCTTCAAGATTCTCCTTTGTATGGACTGATGAAGCCACTGTGTGGCGAAACGTTTCCTCAATAAAGATACCCAAGAGTTGAACATTGAAATGGTATAAAATACCGACAGATTGTTAGGTAAGACACATTTTCAAAAGTTAGGTATCTTTATTTCGAAACGTTTCGCCCCACAGTAGCCTTCAGTCGGTAAGAAATTGATGAAGCAGAAGTTTGAAGACGATGTAAACATCCATACCCAAAATTTGAGGTGGTCAGTCCCTCAGTCTGGAGAAGAGATTGTTGTTGTCTGAAAAAAATATGAAATTGAAGTGGACAGAATGGGGCCTTATATGGTGCCCGGGGTGAGGGCGTAGGTTCTTTGGGGGGCAGGTCCCCCTCAAACCAGCCCTTTCACTAGTGAAGTTGTCGAAGTTTATGGTCTGTACCCAAGATACCTTGTGTTGCAGTTCTGACAGAAAGAAATTGAAATGGTATAAAAAAAAACCGACGTTGTTGGTAAGACCATTGCCAAAATTAGGTATCTTTTTCGAAACGTTTCGCCCACACAGTAGGCTTTTTCAGTCGAGTACAGAAAAGTTGATAGAAGCAGAAAATACTTGAAGACGATGTAATCAGTCCATCACCCCTTAAAATTTTAGGTGGTCAGTCCCCAGTTTGGAGAAGAGCATTGTTCCCTTGTCTGAAAAAAAATGAAGTTGAAAGGGGACAGAAGGGGCCTTTATGGTGCCAGGAGGTGAGACTGGTTGCTTTGGGAGGCAGGTCCCTTCAAAAACCCGCCTTCTACTAGTAGAAGTTGTCGAAGTTGATGGTCTGTACCAAGTACCCCTTTTGTTGCAGTGTCTGAAGAAGAAAAATTTAAATGGGATAAAATACCGACGTTGTTAGGTAAGAACTATGCAACAGTTAGGTACTTTTTTTCGAACGTTTGCCTACCAGTGGCTTCTTCAGTCGAGTACAGAAAAGTTGATAGAAGCAGAAGATACTTGAAGACGATGTAATCGTCCATCCCCCTTAAAGTTTTGAGGTGGTCAGCCCTCAGTCTGGAGAAGGCATTGTTCCGGTCTGAAACAATATGAAGTTGAAGTGACAAAATGGGGCCTTATAAGGGCCCAGGAGGTGAGACGTAGGTTGTTTTGGGGGGGCAGGCCCTAAAACCCGCCGTTCTCACTAGTGAAGTTTCGAAGTTGATGGTCGTACCAAGATACCCTTGTGTTGCAGTGTTGACAGAATGAACATTGAAAAATGGTAAAAAATACCGAAGATTGTTGGTAAGAACAAAAGCAACAGTTAGGTATCTTTATTTCAAAAAGTTTCCCCTTTTACACAGTGGGGTTCTTCGTGAGTACAAAAAAGTTGATAGAAGCAGAAGATACTTGAAGACGATGTAATCAGTCCATCCCCTTTTAAATTTTTTGAGGGGGTCAGTCCCTCAGTTGGGAAGGCATTGTTCCGTTGTCTGAAACAATAGAGTTGAAGTGACGAATGGGGCTTTAGGGTGCCAGGAGGTGAAAAGTGGTTGCTTTGGAGGGAGGTCCCTCCAAAAACCCAGCCGTTCCCCTTAGTAGAATTGTCGAAGTTGTGGCTGTACCAATACCTTGTGTTGCAGTGTCGACAGAATGAAATTGAAATGGTTAAAATCCCCGACAGATTGTTAGGTAAGCACATATGAACAGTTAGGCCCTTTTTTTTCGAAAGTTTCGCCTAACGTAGGCTTCTTAGTGGTAAGAAAAGTTGATAGAAGAGAAGATATTGAGACGTGAAAATCAGCCCATCACCTGAAATAAAGATACCAAAACTGTTGTATGTGTTTTACCTAACAATCTGTCGGTATTTTTTACTTTTAAATTGTTCTTCTGTAGAACTGCAACACGGGATTTGGTACAGCCACAATTCGACAACTTTACTAGGAGAACGGTGGGTTTGAGAGGACTGCCCCCCCAAAAGCAACTACGTCTCACCTCCTGGCCCCATATAAGGCCCATTCTGTCACTTCAATTCATATTGTTTCAGACAACGGAAAAATGCTTTCTCCGACTGGGGGAAATGCCCCACTCAAATTTAAGGGTATGGATGATTACATCTCTTAAAGTATCTTTGCTTCTATCAATTTTTTCTGTCCCCGCCTGCGCTTGATCTTCAGTATTTCCTGATATGGAATGAACTTCTCCAGGGAGGGACTGACAACCTCAAATTCTACGACTTTAAGGGTGAGGGATGATTACACGTCTTCACATCTTCTGCTCCTCCCACTTTCTGTATTCGAGAAGAACCCTATGTGTAGGCGAACGTTCGGAAATAAAGTTTTAAACTGTTGCTATGTGTTTACCTAACAACCGTCGGTATTTTATCCCTTTTGATTTTAAAATTTTCTGTATCGAGGGGAAAGAAGCCTACTGTGTGGCAAAAACGTTTCGAAATAAAGATCCAAACGTTATATGTGTCTTCCTAACAATCTTCGGATTTATACCATTTCAATGTTATTTGTCAGACATGCAACACAAGGGATCTTGGCGCCCATCAACTTCGACAACTTTACTAGTGAGAACGGCGGGTTTGAGGGGGACCTCCCCTCCCAAAGCAACTAGTTCACCCCTGGACCATTAAGGGCCCCCATTCTGTCACTTCAACTTCTATTGTTTCAGCCAAGGACAATCCCTTTTTCCAGACTGAGGGACTGACCCTCAAATTTAAGGGTGAGGAAAATGTTTCCCGTCTTCAAGTATCTTTGCTTCTATCAACTTTTTGTACTCGATGAAGAAGCTACTTGTAGGGAAACGTTTCAAAAATAAAGTCCTAATGTTGCATATGTGCTTACTAACAATACCAAGAGTTGCACATGTGTCTAATTATCAAATGAAAAACAAATATGGAAAAAAAACTTTTTTAAATGAAATCTTTTTTGGAAAATATTCTGAACATTTGTGGGCTTTATTAAGCGCTTAAAAGGACAATTTTACTTTTTGTAACCATAGGCACAAAGGGGTCACAGCAGGTGTAAAAGCAAGTGTAAGTTGCGAACCAGCTGAAATTTGGAGGCAGAAAGGGGTGAAAGTTTCTGAACGTTTTCCCGTTTTTTTCATGGTGTTTGTTAACAAAATACTCATGTTTTTCCTATGCGTCCTCGTTTCTCCTTGCTGTAGCCCTAATTTAAATAACAAAACTACCTAGGCAAGACGTATCCAATAAATGCTCTAGTAAATGCCTTACTGCAAAATCCTTGAGTAGAAAATTGAGTGTTTTTTAAATTTAAAGAGATGCGGTGGTGGCCGTCACATGTGGTATTGACCCCCGGACAAAACAACAGCGGTTGTTTGTACCCCTCATACTGCCCGGGACTTCAAACTCTGTAGTAAGGTACACCCGTTGGAGACAGTTACAAAGTGTATATCATAAAAACATAAGAACAGTCTTGAATGCACTGCCCCCGGGCCATGGCCTTCCTAAGAGGTCATATTCACGCCCAGCCATTGTACTCTTATATTTTTATAACCTACAGTTAACACTAGTCAAGGTGGTAGTTTCATTGAGACTTCGTGATAGTTTGTTGTGATCGTGACTCTCATTTTCCAGCAATCATCACTTATTTAAAAACTTAACTGAAACTCATTTTTATTAAGTCAGTTATTTCATTAATGTTAAAAATCACTTTCATATGCTTAACAGACTGACAGATTGTAGACATTATTGCTAAGTGGGTATTGTTTTGGATTCCCTTTTGACCTGTGTAAGCCCAATACGGCTGTCACAGGTCAAAAGGGGCATCTGTAACGGAGAAATTTTCAATTAAGGCATTGGGTACACTTGGGTACACTGGGACATTCGTCAGTTGATCAACTAACAAAGTGACCAGCGTGATAGACCTTCCCTTCATCAAGAATATCCTAGTGTCGTGCAAGTCGTGATTGCACGCTAATTACGCAGTTTATTGTGTGTTCTGTACTCTCTTCAAACTTGCTATGCAGTGCTGTCTTCCTCAAGACTTACCTCTGCTGGGCCGAAGTTATTATGTCCTTGATGAGCCAGTTCTTGACATATGCTCTGCCCGAGCGTCTCTCCGTTCTCTAACACAGTATCCAAATCTCCGTTGCCGGTTATCGCGTTCCACTGTAAATGAATATAAATTTCCATTGAACATCTATTTTAGATTTACACGTCTAGTAGACAATAGTATATTTAACAGGATGCAATTCAGATATTTTAACCAGGGGAAAAACTTTCAATTTACCCACACAGTGACTTAAACATTTTTACATCTTTACTTATTATATTATTCATGAAATGAGAACGAAAAGGTGATATTAGCAATCTATAAAGTAGGCTGATCATCCTATGATCTTTCTGATTATATATATATATATATATATATATATATATATATATATATATATATATATATATATATATATATATATATTATATATATATATAAATATATATACTATTAGATCGCAGTAAATAGGTGATCTTACGATATACAAAATATCTACTGTGGAGAAAATAGTGAATTTAAAACCGTTTTTGTGATTTCTCACGATTCCTTGGTAATGCGAGAAATAAAAGCATGATTATATATATATATATATATAATATATATATAAATATATATTATATATATATATATATATATATTATATATATATAATGCACATGTTAGATATAAAGAGAAATTTTGAGCATCTAACCTCTTCCTCGCAAAAGGCTGCACACTCCTCGGAAGCTTCACAGTTTTCCACAGGTTCTGGAGGGAAGGGTACCACTTCAATCTCTCCATTAGGCTCACTGACGAAGCCACCACATTGGCATTCTTGTTGCTGAGCCCTGTAGTAGTAGAAGTAGTAGTAGTAGTAGTAGTAGTAGTAGCAATGGTATTAGTAATAATAGTAGTAGTAGTAGTAATATTAGAAGGAGAAGCTGCTTATTTACTTGTCATTTTATAGATGAAAAGTCCCTGTTTATCCCTATGAAAGTGACTTACTGAAATAGGTTTAAGGTTCCATCAGTGTTTTATGGTGGGGAAACTTTGGTGAAGACAGATTATGAATGTTTCTCACATTAATTAAAATGAAAGTATTTTTTTATAAGGGACTAAATTAATTTAGCTTCTTGAAGACTCGATAATATTTTTGCCAAAGACCTCTCAGATTTTTAAAATGTAATTTCTTTAAAAGTTAATGACAACTGTGCCGCGTGAGATACTTGCGACTTCTTCATTTTAAGAATCATTGTAACAAAGCTGCGTGACGAGAGAATTCCGTGAATTATATTTCGTTAAAATTCTTTATAAGATTACTTGCTCTTTAGCTTTAGTTCAGTAAATGCATTACCATTCAGTAACCCAAAAAATAACTACATTACCATCAGATTTATTGTTTACATGCGTCTCATGAATAGTTCTACAGACTTCCCATTACATCCTTGAATTTGTATTGTTTAAGCCACTGGATGGCGAGGCGTCTACAAATAAAGATACCCAGATATTGCATATGTGTGTAATTCTTCCTCATGTATCAGAATCAGAATCCTTACATAGTAGACTACATTTCTTCCTAATACGCGAAGCGGAAAACCCGGGTGGGTCTTCAGAGAAAGAGTGGTGAAGGCTCGATTCTTTGTCAGTGGGATATAATGCTTTTCTGTCTTAGCCAAACCAAGTTAATATCTTTTACAACAAAGGTTTAAAAATAACAGAAGATAGTGTTGTAATGTGTCACACGTCGAGAACGGAGCCTTGATATAAGTTAAGGATGGTCAAAGAAAAACCCTCTTCCTCGGAGGAAAGCTTATTACCTCCTACCTCCTAGTTGCCAGGAGTTTTATAACTCTAGGGGGTTAAACAATTCCCCATGAACACAGTTACATTAATAATTTAGTGTAGCATAGTTACCATGTGAGGGCGAGGAAGGGAAGAAGAATGAGGAGGAACTTCATCTTGCTGGTTGATGATGTGTGAGGAACAGCATGAAGCTAGCGCATTTATACTTCCTTCCTGACCTCCCCACCTGGTGGACCTTCCTGCCCTCTCCACCTGATGGACAAGGTCCAAGGTGACGCAGCCACCTGCCTTTTCTCATCCAACCAAAAAATTTTTTCTTGTATAGCTTTGGGCAACAACAGAATCCACCATTTCGCCTAGAGTTTGTCGAGTTCACTAAGCTTCTCATCAACTTTTTCAAATTCAAGGACATCTTTAAAGAATGCTTTGTCATAGCCATGGATAGCTAGCTCCCTTAGTGCTAGACCTGCTAACATATCTTTGTCATAGCCATGAGAAGCTAGCTCCCTCAGTGCTAGACCTGCCAGCATATCTTTGACATAGCCATGGATAGCTAGCTCCCATAGTGCTACACCTGCTAGCATATCTTTCACATAGCCATGGGAAGCTATCTCCCATAGTGCTAGACCTGCTAGCATATCTTTGTCATAGCCATGGATAGCTAGCTCCCATAATGCTAGACCTTCTAGCATATCTTTGTCATAACCATGGATAGCTAGCTCCATTAGTGCTAGACCTGCTAACATATCTTTCTCATAGCAATGGATAGCTAGCTCCCATAGTGCTAGACCTGCTAACATATCTTTCTCACAGTAATGGATAGCTACCTCCCATAGTTCTAGACCTGCTAGCATATCTTTGTCATAGCCATGGGTAGCTAGCTCCCTTTTGCTAGACCTACTAGCATATTTTTGTCATAGCCATGGGTAGCTAGCTCCCTTAGTGCCAGACCTGCTAACCTATCTTTGTCATAGCCTTGGGTAGCTAGCTACCTTAATGCTAGACCTGCTCGCATATCTTTGTCATAGCCATGGGTAGCCAGATCCCTTATGCTAGACCCTAACTACTTTTCAAGCCATGGGGAGCTAGCCCGTGTTAGTCTGAAAATCAACATAACTTTGTCATAGCCATGGGGAGCTACCTCCCCTAGGCAGTCCCCGCTAACATTTTTTTGTCAAGCCATGAATACTAGCTAGCTTAGTGTTAAAATTTCTCGCATATCTTTTTCATAGCCATGGGTACCCACTCCCTTTTTGCAGCCGCATCATATCTTTGTCATAGCCCTGGGGGAGCTACCTCCTCAGTGCTAGACCTGCTAATATATCTTTTTTAAGAAGGGTACTGCTCCCCTTTTTGCTAGACCGCTAACATTCTTTTTCAAGCCAGGTAGCTAGCTCCTTGGTGCTAGACCGCTAACATATCTTTTTCATAGCCATTGGTAGTTAGCCCTTTAGTGCATAAAACCCGCTAACATATTTTGTCATAGCCATGGGAGCTAGCTACCTTAGTGATAATCTGCTAACATATCTTTGTTATAGGAGGATAGCTAGCTTCCTTTTCTAGACCTGCTAACATATCTTTTTCATAGCCATGGTAGCTAGCTCCCCTTTGTGCTAGACCTGTTAATTAAAACTTTGCATAACCTGGGTACTCTCCCTTTTGCTAACATGCTAAAAAAATCTTTGTCATAGCCAGGGGAGCTAGCTACCTTTGTGCTAGACCTGCTAAAAATATCTTTTTTTAGCCATGGGAGCTAGCTACCTTAGTGCTAACCTGCAACATACTTTGTCATAGCCATGGGTACACTCCCTTAGTGCTAGACCTGCTAACATATTTTTTTCATAGCCTGGATAGCTAGTCCCTTATTGCAAACCTGTAATATATCTTTGTCATAGCATGGGTAGCTCCCCCCTAGTGCTAGATCTGCTAACATATCTTTGTCATAGCCAAGATAGCTAGCTCCCTTAGGCTAGACCTCTAGCATTCTTTCTCATTGCAATGGATAGCTACCCTATGGGCTAGACCTGCTAACATATTTTTGTCATAGCAATGGGGTAGCTACTCCCCATTTCAAGACCTGCAATATATCTTTGTCATAGCGATGGGTAGCTAGCTTCCCTTTGTGCTAACCTGCTAACATATCTTTTCATAGCCATAAAGCTAGCTCCCTTATGCAACCTCTAACATATCTTGTTATAGCCAGGGGGATCAGCACTCGTAGTGCTAACCAGCTAACATATCTTTTCATAGCAATGGGTTGCTACTCCCTTATTGCCAAACCTGCTAACAATCTTTGTTATGCCATGGGGACTACTCCCTTTTTCTAGACCTACTAGCAATTTTTTCATACCATGGGAGCTAGCTCCCTTTGTGCTAGACCATAACATATCTTTGTCATACCATGGGTAGCTACTCCCTATGTAGACCTGCTAACATATCCTTGTATAGCCATGGGTACTAGCTGTCTTAGTGCTAGACCTGCAACAATATTTGCATAGCCATGGTTTTGCTAGGTCCCTTTGTCTAATCGTTAGATAACTTTGTATACTATGGGGAGCTAAAATCCCCCTTTGGCTAGACTTTCTAACATATCTTTGTCATAGCCAAGGGTGCAGCTCCCCCTTTGTGCTAGTCCCCCCAAAAATATTTTTTTCATACCCCTGAATACTAGCTACCTTTTTTTAAATTGCTCGCATATCTTTTTCATAGCCATGGGTACTAGCCCTTTATTACTAGACCTCTATCATACTTTGTCATAGCCATGGAGCTAGCTCTCTTTGGCTAGACCGCTAATAAATCTTTGTTATAGATTAGGTAGCTACTCCCTTTTGCTAGACCTGCAACATATCTTTTTTCAAGCCCTGGGTAGTTTTTAAATACCTTAGTGCTAGATGGCTAACTTATCTTTGTCACAGCCCTGGATAGCTACTTCCCTTTGTGCTAGACCTTCTAAAATTCTTTGTCATAGCTATGGGGAGCTAGCCCCTTAGTCCAACCGCTAAAATATCTTTTTTCATAGCCTTGGTAGCTACCCCTAATGCTAACCTGCTCACTATCTTTTTTCATAGCCCTGGGTACTAGCTCCCTTATGCTAGACCTCTAACTATTTTTGTCATACCATGGGTGCTAGCTGTGTTAGGGTAGACCTGCTAACATATTTTTTGTCATGCCATGGGGAGCACCCCCTAGTGTATCCTGCAACAATTTTTTTTCATAGCCATGGTAGCTAGCTCCCTTTGTGCTAGACCTGATAACATATCTTTGCATAGCCATGGGGACTGCTCCCCCTTTTGCTAGACCTGCTCGATACTTTGTCATAGCCATGGGTACAGCTCCCCTTTGTGCTAGACCTGCTAACAACCTTGTCATACCATGGGGACTACTTCTTAGTCTAGACCGCTAACAAAAATTTTCATAGCATGGGGAGTAGGTCCCTTAATTTTCTAGACTGTTTCATACTTTTTTCATAGCTTGGGGGAGCTAACTCCCTTTTGGTTTAAATTGCTAACAATCTTTTTCAAGCCAAGGGAGCTAGCTCCCTTAGTGCTAGTCCCGTAACAATTTTTTTCATAGCCATAAAAGCAGCTACCTTAGTGTTAGACAGGGTCGCATTCTTTTTCATACCATGGGAGCTACTCCTTTTTTTACTAGACCTCTACATATCTTTGTCAAAAGCCATGGGTAGCTAGCTCTCTTATGCTAGACCTCTAATAAAACTTTTTTATAGATATGGGTATCTCCCTTATTCTGACCTTCTAACATATCTTTTTCATGCCATGGTAGTTACTACCTTAGTGCTAGATGTGCTAACTTTTCTTTGTCACAGCCATGGATACTACTTCCTTAGTGTAAACCTTTTAACATTCTTGTCTAGCTATGGGGACTAGCTCCCTTATGCTAACCTGCTAACATATTTTTTTCATAGCCATGGGGAGCTAGCTCCCTTATTGCAAACCTGCTAATAATCTTTGTCATGCCTGGTACACCCCTCATGCTAACCCCAACATATCTTTTTAAGCCCTGGGTACCTAGCTCCTAGTGTTTCCTCTAACATATCTTTTTCATACAATGGTAGCTAGCACTCGTATGCTAGCCCCTAATATATCTTTTTCAAAGCCATGGGGAGCTACTCTCTTAGTGCAAAACCTGCTAACATACTTTTTTCAAAGCCATGGGGACGCTCTCTTAAATGCTAGACCTGCTAACTATCGTTGTCATAGCCATGGGTAGCTAGCCCCTTATGCAGACCTCTAACATTCTTTGCAAGCCATGGGGACAGCTCCCTTAGTGCTAGACCTGCTAACATTTTTTTGTCAAGCCCGGGTGCTAGCTCCCTTTTTGCAAGACCCCTAATAAACTTTTTCAAGCCAGGGTTCTACTCCCTCATGCTAGACCTCAACATAACTTGTTATAGGCAGGGACCTACTCTTTAGTGTTAAACCGCTAAAAAACTTTTTCAAGCAAGGGACTAGCACTCGTATGCTAACCACTAAAAATTTTTTGTCAAAGCCAGGGTAGCTAGCTCTCTTAGTGTAGACCCAACAAAACTTTGCAAAGCCAGGGTAGCAGCCTCTTATGCTAGACCCCGCTAACATTCGTTGTCAAAGCCCGGGGACTAGCTCCCCTTTGTGCTAGACCCCCTAACAAATCTTTGTCATAGCCATGGGCACAGCTCCCCTTTGTGCTAACCTGCTAAAAATATCTTTGTCATAGTTCTGGGTACTAGCTCGCTTTTTGCAAGACCCGCTAAATACTTTTCAAACCATGGGGAGCTAGATCCCTCATGCTAAAAACCTGCAAAAACATCTTGTTATAGCCATAGGTGTAGCTACCATATGCTAGTCGCTAAATATCTTTTTTAAGCAGGGGAGCTAACTCCCTTAGGCTAACCTGCTAACATATCTTTGTCAAAGACAGGGGACTAGCTCCCTTAGTGAGACCTTCTCGCATATCTTTGTCATAGCCATGGGGGGCTCTCCCTTAGTCTAGACCTGCTAACATATCCTTGCATAGCCATGGGTACTAGCTCCTTAGGGTAGACCTCTAATATTAAATTTGTTATAGCCATGGGGAGCTAGCCCCACCTTAGTGCTAGACCTGCTAACGTATTTTTTTCACAGCCATGATGCTAGTTTCCCTTTGTGCTAACCTTTTAACATTCTTTTTCATAGCTTGGGAGCTAGCTCCCTTAGTGCTAGACCCCGCTAACA